TGGATACCTGCAAGGAGTGTTCACCCTGACTTGCAACATCAGAAACAGAATGTGGCCAGCAGGCAACCTTCAAGCAGTGGCCAAAGTGCTGACCATCAATCATCAGTCTTTGAGTGATGATCAAGACACCAACCATCAACAAGCTGAGCCCTCTACTAGTGGGGAATGAACATTTTCTCTTTTCTTTGTTTCCAGAAAGAGATTGTTGACGAGTTAGACTCCAGTGTTACCAGCAGATTAACAATGTTACTATACTAAAAGTTGGTAACTGACTTTTAGAATGAATAGTTAAAGTTTATGGAATGTAACAGAATAAGTATGAGATCTCTTTGACCATTCTGAGCCAATGTCTGATTGAGGTTTTGATTGATAACTGATAAAGCTCTGGAGCTGTGTTTATCCTCTTTCCTGCAAGGGATCGCACAGGATCAAATAAACACCACCTCCTCCTCTAAACAAAAAGGGGGAATTGTGAATATCCTCAGTTCAGTCGAAGAAAGAACAGAGAGAATTTCTCCCAGGCCAAGCCTGGGAAAAGAATTAAAACAATTATTATCTCTCCTTCTGTAACCCTTGTTTATAGATATGGTTCTCCAGAGTGTGCTATTCATAGTTCACCAACAGTGTGAGAGGTTTTTACTTTGAGACCAACCAAGTCCCGCCTTAGCGAGTCACATTATAAAAGACACACTCCCTTGATTCAATTGCCTTCAGATTCAGCTTCTGAAGACTGGAGTCTTTCATTCCATCTCTGACTCAGCAGCATCAGTGAATTATTCTACTCATTCATCTGGAGGTTGCTGAGGCAGCAGCAATGCAGTTCAATATCAAAGATTTGTTATTGTTTAGGCCACATTATGAAATCTCTTGATTATCCGTGTGCAGCATGATTTATTCCTTCGGCTAATATCTCTGCTCTTGGGAAGCAGCTATGGATTGTAGGAGACATTTTAGATCACAGACTCTATGGTTTCCATCTAGGAAAAGTAATACTAAAAAAGCTTTGATATTCTCCACATTTTGTTATTTTAAGCCATCTAAACCAAGAATCACTTTTGCCTAAGTTTTTGTCTTTGCTCTTCTGGGCTGCTCCAGGATTGTATCTGAAGGCTCGTCAAGTCTGTGATAACCAGGTATCTAGAATTTAGAAATCTATAGTTTAGAATATCTATATATTCTGTAATTTAGAACCAGATATCTAGAATTTATCTGTAGTCTCAGCACAGCTGTCTAATATTGTTTTACATGCAAAATGTCCACAATATGACCCAAGACCTGCAGAACATGCCCTTTGGGACATGCAAAGAAAAAATTTCTTATACCATTAAAATTGATAACAAGCACTCTTAGGCAGCTACAGAAAGTCTCTATAGTAGGACTGCATCTTCTTTGCATTCCTTATTTCCCCCCATTCCTTTTTTCCACAGGTGTATTGTAGTTAGAGATTTAATAATTTCAGGCTGTACTTTAGTCTCCTATGTACATACTGTCTATTGTTCATACTGTCTATTACTACTTTTGCCCATGCCTTCAGGATGGTAAGAGGAACAACTTGGAGCTACTGAGAGCATTCAGCTGTTTATTGCAACTTACAGAATGAATTGTAAGATGAGAGAGCAAGTGTGTTTATGTACATCTTTGTATATGGGGTTTAGTTACATAGATTGATATCTGTATAGGTATAGGCCTCTTTTTAACCTGTTTCTCTGCTCTGCTTCCTCCCTCCCTTCCTGCTTTTCCCCCTGTGTCCCCTGTGTCCCCCGTCCCTGTGCTGGGTCCCAGCTGGTGGCCGGGCCGGGCGGAGCAGCACTTCCAGCCCCGGCTGTCCCTGGAGCGGTGGGAGCTGCCGCTGGCCCCAGGCACTGTCCCCTGAGGAGCTGCTGGAGGACGGTGAGACAGAGGGGGCTGAGGGGACTGAGGGGGCTTAGGGGGCTGAGGGGACGGTGACCCTGAGCTGCTGCTGGGGCTGAGGGCTGTGGGGCAGCCGAGGGCCATGGTGGCACTGAGGTGACAGGGAAGTGGCACAGGCTGAGGGGCTGGCGGGTCTCAGGGGACGGGATGGCTGAGAAGGGACTGAGGGAGGTGAGAGGACTGTGAGGGGCTGAAGAAACTGAAGGGGGCTGGGGCTTCACCGAGAGCATGGCGGGGTTGAGGGGATGGAGGGGGCCAGCAGGGAGCACAGCAGGGATTGCAGCTATGCCAGGCCTTGGAAGCAATTCCAGAGCCTCCACTTTTGCCACAGCTGCAAGGGAGGCCTTGAGGAGAGCCGGAGGAGCTGAAGGCTGGCAGCAAGAGCAGTGAACGGGGACCGGCTGCTGCCAGCCAGGAGAGAGCCTGGCTGAGGCCACAGGCCCGGGGAGGCAGGCTGGGGCTGAGGCTGGCATGGGCTGTGGCCGTGGGCAAGGCAGCTGTTGTTAATTCAGGTTTGTCCTTTATCAACCCTGTTGCATAGAAATCACTTTTTTACAGCAGAGACTTGTGGCAGCAGCTCTCTTCACAGAGAGCAGCAGGCACAACTTCCCCAGGAAAAATCCTGGTGAAGTTGAGAAAGCTCAGAGAAGAAGAAAAGCAGTTTCTACTTGCTGCATCTGTTGTTTGGCACATGTGTTACGTGCAATGTGTTATGGAGAATGTTTACCCAAAGGGGATTTGTTAATTGGAGACTGGTGATGGTGTTTGGATTGATTGACCAATTAGGTCAAAGTTGTGTTGTGACTGACTGTAAGGGCTAATGAGTTTTTCTTTAGTATATTTTACTATTAGTATAGAATAGTAGTATAGTATAATATATATATATATATATATATAGTATAGCTTAATAAAGCATTTCTTCAGCCTTCTGAAATCATGGAGTCAAAGCTCACTATTCCTTGCTCAGAGGACGCGCTGCTCCTATAGACTAAATGAAATTCCTAATAGAGATGAGAATTTGGCAATTCAGGCTGATTAAAGGGGAAGTTTTCTGCTATGGTGGAAAGACAATCTAGATAACTGTTTGCTGTACATCGTGGAAGGGGCTTTGCAGTTTAGGATGAAAAGGAAAAAGACATTTCTCTTCAGAAGAGTCTTGAAAGAGCTTTTTGTATTACCAGAAGCAGCTACACTGATATTGACCAGTGTGGAAAATGGATTTGTAGAGAGTTCTCAGGGCCTGACAGAAGGCCCACACAGTATGCATCCATATGCAAACTTTGAGATAAGAAATGCTGCCTTAGAAATGCCATGGAATAGGACAGATATTGTTGAGAGAGAAATGGAGCTAGAAAAAAGTTTCAAAGGATGGTCTTGTAAATAAGACTGGATACTTTGGAGAAAAAGAATTATGAAAGATGCATTGTTTTAGGACCCACAAGGGGTAGTTTTAGGTGATTTGCTTTAAGGCATCTACAGCATGGTGTGGCAAAAAGCTGATAGGCCAAGAAAGGCTTCTAGGAAATAGTCAGCTTTTGATTGTGGTAGCGTCAATTAGAACATCTGTATTGTCTCACCCCTCTCATGAGATTGAAAATGGAATAGAAGTTTTTAAAACGCCTCTCCGCTGCCCCATCTCTGGGTCAGAAAAGGGTATTGTCCAACAAATTGGTGTTCCCATGTCAGGAGCAAATAACTTGACTAAACTGTCTGACCTAGAAGCCCTGAGGTAATTTTTGTGAACTGTTGCTGAGAGAAGCACAAATCCCAGGATCATAACTCTTACAAAAAAGAGAGAAGTTGGATTTCTACCCTCGTCACTGGCTCGATCAGGATGGAGATCTGACAAGGACTTGCCCGTTGTTCAACATCAGGTGAGCCTTGGGAAACATGTTAGGACACAAGATGTCCAATTTACCTCGAGCTTTTTAGAAAAACCTCCAAGATCCAGTCAAATCCAATTCCTGTAATGATGCAAAAACCGAGTTAAAAGACTTAGTATTATACATTCAGAAATAGTTCTCAGCTACAGATAAAACTTCCGTGTTTTCACTCCCTCTTTGGGAACTTTTAGGACCAAAACTATACAATGCTTTTACCATAAACAGAGATCAAACAGCTGCTAAGTTGCATCTGGTGTTTGGTATGATGGATGATTGGTACGTTTAAACATTCTACTAAACCCTCCACTTCCTCGGCTGCGTCTGCGCCTCCCTCCAACACTCAGGCTGAGTCCCCAGGTCCCCCTCTGCTTCAGCTGTAACTCAAGACCCTGACATTCAGCCTGGGGCTGTGACACCTCCACCCCTACCACGGCAATGTGCCCCCAACTTTCACCATTTTCCAAGCTGTGTCTGGGTACCCCCTCTGCCCCCCCAGAAGGTGAGAACTCCTTGCTACTTGTGAGAAAAAGTGAGGGGAGAGAAAGAGGGAAAAAATTCTCAAGACCAGTGTCTCTGCTAGCAAAAGGCAGGATTTCTCTGTTAACATTACAAAACAAACAGGCTCCAGTTGCTGTGAAATTCCTCCAGGACAGTCTGTAATTTACAAGGTTGTGAGGCAGGAAAAGAACAAGTGAGAATTCTAGCGATTCTGAAGAAGTTAACATATTACATGCTAATCCTGCAAAAAGAGAAAGAAAACCTACTTTACCTTCTTTTGATTCAGGAAATAATTCAAAAAGACTGACTGATTGGGGTAAGGTGAGATGTAAAGTTGTACAAGATAAAACCGTCTCCCAAGTGATCCCAACTTATTACCCCCAGGGGCATGATGCAAACTAACAAATTCCAAATTAATTTATTTTTAAAAAAACTTTTACCATGAATACACTTGCACAGGAAATGTATTCACAACAAAAACAAGACTTTTTTAATCTAGGCAAGGACAGTAATAAAATTCTTGGACTTTCAATTCTTCCAACTGTTGTCTCAGCAAATTATAATGAAGAGCTGATGATTTCAGCTCTTACTTACAATGCTCCAATGGTAATTGAACCAAAACCAGCAATAGCTATCACTATTACACTACCAGTGAATAGAAAGAAGTAAGTTGTATGCTGAGAAATGCCTTTTGAGAGTTCTGGCCTGATGCCCAATGTCCTTTGGATAAAACATGTCAGCAATGAAGGGCCAGAGCTGACGTGCAGTCTAACACACCTTGGTCAAACCGTTCGTATTGCAGGTATGCTGGACACAGGGGCGGACATCACTGCAATTTCTCGTGCATCCCGGCTGTGCAATTGGAATTTGGTGACAGCCATGGGTGCTCTCGCCGGAATTGGAGGAGCTGTCTTGTGTCTGCAGAGTGAACTCATGATTACTGTTACAGGTCCCAAGGCAAGGACAGCAACCATCCGTCCCTTCGTGGTGCAGAAGCCCATCACAGTACGGGGGAGAGACGTGTTGTCCCAGTGGGGAGCAAAGATAGAAGTGGATTTTTGACAAAAACCACAGCAACGCCTGCCACTCTGAAATTACCATGGAAAACCAATCAGCCAATTTGGATTGATCAATGGTCTCTTGAGCAGAAAAAATTGAATATTCTCAAAAAATTAGTAAGCGAACAACTACAAAAAGGCCACATCAAACTTACAAAGAGTCCCTGGAATTGCCCGGTTTTTGTCATTCGTAGGAAGACCTATGATTCCTGGAGATTGCTTCATGAGCTGAGAAAGCTTCATGAGAAAGATCAACAAGATCATAGAGGACATGGGGCCTCTGGAACCTGGACTTCCCTCTCTTTTGATGATTCCACAAGACTGGCCTCTTGTTGTCATCTCTGGATGCTGACAGAGAGAGAAACAGACAACTTTCCAGGCATTGTCCTAGGGAAGTTGTGAGAATGCTCAGAGAAAGAATGAAAACAATTCTTATCTTAATCTCTGCACCTGGTATTTGTGAACACATGGAATGTTTGTACATGTTTATGGAAAGATATTTTTCCAGGAGATGTTGTTCCTCATTAACCAGTGGTGTGAGGGGCGTTCAAGTTCTGGGTGAACGATCTAGCCTATAAATATGTGAAGTTCCTAATAAATCTCGCTTTATGCTCTCTGATCCTAGGAGTCAATGTCACCTTTCTTCATCCCTTCCTAACTCAACAGTGACAGTGTACCACAGCAAAACCCAGTCTTAAGTAAGAACTGTGTGTAAGGTTTCATGGGGTCAAGTTCATTGATTTGAGTATAATGCAAATAGTAATAGAATAAGGGATGGATAATGTCTTAGGTTGGAAAATGTGTCTGGGAGTATGTATTCTATTGCTGTCTGTTAGAGATAGGGCAATTATCTTCTGCTAATTGGGCCACCTGTTAAAACCAGGTGGGGCAGTTTTCTTCATCTCTTCCATAACCAATCCTCCCTCCAGAAAATATTTTCTGTTAGTGGGCCACTGAATCTCACTGTATGACTGAAAAAATTGCATCATCCCACTGGAGATGCTCTACCCAGGGGAAGGACCCAAGCATTCCTACCTGGATATAATCTGAGATTTGCAACACCACGGCAGCCTTTTCCCACTAGATTCCCAGAAGAGCAGCTTTCTTTTCCACCAGATTTCCAGAAGAAGACCAAGCGCATCTACACCACCACTGGCCCTTCAGAGGAAGACTCCACCCTTCTCCAGGATCACTGCTTGAAAAGAAGCACATCTGCCACTCCAAGAAAGCTACAGCCACCATATATCTTTGGACTGCTCCCAACACCCCAACCAACAGAGTGGCAGGGCATATGCTGACTCTGTCAGTAGCTTGTTTTCCTACTAGTGCATTTGTATTTTAATTTTCCTAATAAAGAATTACTATTCCTGCTCGCATGTCTTTGCCTGAGAGCTCCTTAATTTCAAACTGATAATTCAGAGAGAGGGAGTTTGCATTTTCCATTTCAAGGCAGGCTGCTTCCTTCCTTAGCAGACACCTGTCTTTTCAAACCAAAAGACAAGGCCATGACATTCCACAAGAGGAATCACTGGTGTAGATCTCATGGACCTCTCCCAATCCTATTAAAGTATTGAAATCCTGGTTTAGAATAGACAGGGATGAAACAACTTTGAGAGACAGAGACTAAAATGGCTTGTGATTGATTTTTTCTTTAGGAATGGGGAAAAGTACCCAAAAGGTGTTGTTTTCTAACGTTTTAAAATATAGTGCATCAAAATGAAAAACGGCAATAAAAAGAGTTGTACAAAGAAGTGCTTTTGAATTAGAAACACAGAAATGTGGAGATATGAATGACATTTTCCTAAAAATATGAAATTACAAACCAATATATACAGTGAACTACAATACAAAGGGAGGGAAGGGTGTACTTTATTTAGATCTTCTTGTATTGCTGGAGTATTTTCCTTCTGAGGAGAAGCTAATATTTCAATGAAGAAGTCTCTCACATCTGCTAATTAAATGTCCTTCTTTCTTCTAGTGCTGGATAACACATCCCAGCTGAAAGGAGCTACTGAAGGCAAAGAACTGGTTTTGCGTGGTCTGAACCTGAAGGATGAAGAGCCAATAGCTCTGTTTCCTGTTAGATGGTAGGGCATGTTGCTTGAAGGCAGGGTAAAAGCTCTGTTTCGTCTGGTGTGGGAGGATGCATGCATGGATGGCCCACTATTGGTTCTGGTTGGTATCAGGTTGATGGCTGGTTCCATTGATGACCCAAAACCTGTTCTGCATGGCATTGCACCGGAGGCTGTGTTAGTATTAGATGCGCTGTAGACGTCTCTTGCCGACGCCGCTACAGTAGAAAGAAACCGACTCAGGCTACAGTAGTGTGACAGCCGACAGACCCTATACTCTGTGTGGAAGCGACTCAGTCTTCACTTCGTCAGCCAGCAGATCCTATGCTTTATAAGGCGCTGAGCCCGACATCTAGGTTGGGATAGTGGCCCTGATGGCTTCCAGCGCTGCTGGCCTGCTTGCGAGGGCGTATCCCGCCGAGGCCGCTTAGGAAACCGGCTCAGGCTACCGTAGGATGGCGCCCAACAGAACTTCCACTCCCTCTGGAAGGGACTGGCGGCGACTCAGTCTTCACTCCGTTGCCCAGCCGATCCCGTACACCATCAGGCGCCAGGCCCGACAGGCAGCGATAGTGGCCACATTGGCTTCAAGGGGTGCTTGCCTGCTGACCCGGATGCGTCCTGCCTGCGCCGCAGAGTGAACTGACCCGGGCCACGGTAGTACAACGACTGACGGAACCCGCGCTCCACCTGGCGCTAACTCAGTCTTCACTCCGTCGCCCGGCCAATCCCGTGCCCCCTCCGGTGCCAGGCTCGACCATCAGGCTGCGATAATGGCCCCATTGAGTTCAAGGTGTGCTGGGTGGCCCGCCCAGACGCGTCCTGCCCGCGCCGTAGAGTGAACCGACCCGGGCCACGATAGTACGACAGCCGACGGAACCCGCGCTCTGCCTGGCGGTGACTCCGTCTTCACTGCATCACATGGCCGATCCTGTGCCCCCTCTGGCGCCGGGGCCGACAGTCAGGTGGCAATAGCGGCACTGCTGGCCTCAGGTGTGCTGGCCTTCTGGCCCGGACGCATCTCGCCCGCGCCACAGAGCGAACCGACCCGGGCAACGGTAGTACGACGGCTGACGGAACCGACTCTCCGCCTGGCAGTGACTCAGTCTTCACTCCATCACCCGGCCAATCCCGTGCCCTCACTGGCGTCAGGCCCGACAGTTAGGTGGGGATAGCAGACCCGCTGACATCATGGGGTGCTGGCCGGCTGGCCCGTCCTTTTCCCGCCTGCGCCGCATAGTAAACCAACCTGGGCCACGTAGTATGACGGCTGACGGAACCCGCACACCTCCTCCCGGCAACTCAGTCTTCACTGCGTCGCCCCGCCAATCCTGTGCTCCATCAGGCGCCGAGCCCCACAGTCAGGCAGACTCGCTGGCCTGACGGGGTGCTGGCCTGCTGACCTGGACGCGTCCCGCCTGCACCGCAGAGTGAACCGACCTGGGCCACGGTAGCACGACGGCTGACTGAACCAGCGCTCTGCCTGGCAGCGACTCAGTCTTCATTCCATCGCCCTGCCAATCCCGTGCCCCCTCTGGCACCGGGCCCGACAGTCAGGCGGTGATAGCAGCCCCGCTGGACTCACGGGCTGCTGGCCTGCTGGCCCGTACTTGTCCCGCCCGCACCGCAGAGTGAACTGACCCGGGCCACGGTAGGACAACAGCCAATGGAAGCCGTGCTCTGCATGGGTTCCATGAAGACTCAGTCTTCACAGCGTCGCCCGGCCGATTCAGTGCCCCCTCCGGTGCCGGGCCCGACAGTCAGGTGGCAGTAGTGGCCCCATTGACTTCAAGGGGTGCTGGGCGGCCTGCCCGGACGCATCCCGCCCGCACCGCAGAGTGAACTGACCTGGGCCACGGTAGTACGATGGCCGACGGAACCCGTGCTCTGCCTGGCAGCGACTCAGGCTTCACTCTGTCGCCCGGCCGATCCCGCGCCCCCTCTGGAGCCGGGCCCGACAGTCAGGTGGCGATAGTGGCCCCTCTGCCCTCACAGGGGATCTGGCCTGCTGGCCCGCCCAGACGCGTCCTGCCCACGCTGCAGATTCACCCGACCTGGGCCACGGTAGTACGACGGCTGACAGAACCCGCGCTCCGCCTAGCGGCGACTAAGTCTCCACTGCGTCACCTGGCCGATCCAGTGCCCAGTGTCCGGTGCCGGACCCAATAGTTAGGTGTCGATAGCAGCCCCACTGGCCTCACAGCGTGCTTGCCTGCTGGCCCATACGTGTCTCGCCCATGCCGCAGAGTGAACCGACCCAGGCCATGGTAGTACGACGGCCGACGGAACCTGCACGCCCCCTGGCAGTGACTCAGGTTTCACTCCGTCGCCCGGCTGATCCCGTGCTCCCTCCTGCACCGGGCCCGACAGTCAGGCGGCGATAGCAGCCCCGCTGGCCTCACGGACTGCTGGCCTGCTGGCCCGGACATGTCCCGCCTGCACCGCATCTTGAAGACCGCCCAGGTGTGGGCAGAGTGCCTTGGACTGTCTTGCTGAGTGGACCTCGGCAGGACAGGAGAAAGAATTTTATAGATAAGATACAATAAACAACCTTGAGAATGAGAAATGAGGAGCTCTGTCTCCTTCTTCAACTGCTGGGCAGGGAAAAGAGACTTTCTACCTTTTCCTGTGGTCACTCTGACCAGCAAGAGACCCTGAGAGGGAGCCCCCAGTTGGCCTGGGGGCTGCTGCTGGTTGACAGAGCAAGCAAGAGTGCTGGTGGCCAAAGGGTGAGCTGAGAATGAGGATTTTTCATGGTGACCCCTTCATGATTGATCTTTCCTTTTATGGAATTTCTTCTAACTAATTCTACACATCATAAAAAAGTTATATTTCCATGCTTTTACACGTCTAATCTTCATGTTCTTGGCTGTTTCTATTTTCCCCTTCAGTTCCCTGTGAGTTGGGTCTGGCTTCCCTAGGGGGCAGGTGT